TTTGCCTACCCAATGTTAAAAGACGTGTTGACAGTACTCGCCCTGAGCTCTCCAGGCACAGTTACCGGCGCCTCACAGAAAGTTCCCGATTGCTACTTGTGGTCGGGACCTTTCTCATCATGTGACCACCGTGACAGCCAATCACGGAGGTCACGTGACCCTAAACCCCGCCTCCTAGCATCACAATCCCCTTAAAGGGCCAGAAGGCGCTGGCACTAAGGGATTAATAAACCAACGCTAACTTGTACAGGGAATCAGTACTGTCCTCTACCGGGCTGGTTTTTTGCTGGTTTTTGGGTCTCCGGCATCGGCATGTTAACTGTTGGAAGCTGGCTGTAACTCCTTGCAGCTTCACAGCCAGCTTCCTACTGCGCATGCATGAGCCGCGCTGTGCTTTGGGAATGGTCCTGCAGTTTCCTGGGACCTGTGATGTGTCCCAGAAGGCTGTGGGCAAAGGGGGGAGGGGTGGAACTTTGGCTTGGATCACCTAGGTGATATGAGCAAACGTGGGAGTGGGTACCTGTCAAAACCAGGCACACGCTCACCCCCCCCCCCCCCTCAAAACAATATATTCCAAATATGGTAGGAGAGGGGGGAGGAGGAGGAAGAGTGGAACTTCCCCTTTTGGGTGAAGTTCTGCCTTAATTTAATGTTTTTGAAACATTTTGTTTAATTGTTTGTATCACATGATATAAATATCTTATTATCTTATTTACCTAAAACAGATTTTATGATGTGATGTTATGTAAGTTATTTTTTTCAGTTGTAATATTTTCTTCTACCTTGTATGGACCTTTCCATTTCCATATAAAGTCGCTGTCATTCCAAAACTGTCAAATAATTAAGGTGGTTGTAAACCTCAGACATGAAAATATCAACAAAGCATATCCCTCTGTAGTGTGTACTTGTCTCAGTCCAGAGCAAAGGGGTTTATTTAATAAAGCTGGAGAGTGCAAAATGAGCTTTCAAGTTTTATTGCCAAAGCTTAAAGTGTTCCTAAACCCTGCTTTCACTATATCCGGTCTCCCTGGATTCTGCTTTCACTATATCTGGTCTCCCTGGATTCTGCATTCACTATATCCGGTCTCCCCGGACCCTGCATTCACTATATCCGCTCTCCCCGGACCCTGCATTCACTATATCTGGTCTCCCCAGACCCTGCATTCACTATATCAGGTCTCCCCGGACCCTGCTTTCACTATATCCGGTCTCCTGGACCCTGCATTCACTATATCTGGTCTCCCCGGACCCTGCATTCACTATATCAGGTCTCCCCGGACCCTGCTTTCACTATATCCGGTCTCCCCGGACCCTGCATTCACTATATCTGGTCTCCCCGGACCCTGCTTTCACTATATCCGGTCTCCCTGGACCCTGCATTCACTATATCCGGTTCTCCCCGGACTCTGCATTCACTATATCCAGTCTCCCCGGACCCTGCATTCACTATATCCGTCTCCCTGGACCCTGCATTCACAATATCTGTTCTCCCCGGACCCTGCATTCACTATATCCAGTCTCCCCGGACCCTGCATTCACTATATCTGGTCTCCCCGGACCCATGCACCCTGCATTCACTATATCTGGTCTCCCCGGACCCTGCATTCACTATATCCGTCTCCCCGGACCCTGCATTCACTATATCTGGTCTCTCTGGATTCTGCATTCACTATATCCGGTCTCCCCGGACCCTGCTTTCACTATATCCGGTCTCCCCGGACTCTGCATTCACTATATCCGGTCTCCCCGGACCCTGCATTCACTATATCCGGTCTCCCCGGACTCTGCATTCACTATATCCGGTCTCCCCGGACCCTGCATTCACTATATCCGTCTCCCCGGACCCTGCATTCACTATATCCGGTCTCCCCGGACCCTGCATTCACTATATCCGCTCTGCCCGGACCCTGCATTCACTATATCCGGTCTCCCCGGACCCTGCATTATCACCCTATATCCGGTCTCCCCGGACCCTGCATTCACTATATCCGGTCTCCCCGGACCCTGCATTCACTATATCCGGTCACCCCCTGTCTCCCCGGTCACCCTGCATTCACTATATCCGATCACCCCGGACCCTGCATTCACTATATCCGGTCTCCCCGGACCCTGCATTCACTATATCCGGTCTCCCCGGACCCTGCATTCACTATATCCGGTCTCCCCGGACCCCGCATTCACTATATCCGGTCTCCCCGGACCCTGCATTCACTATATCCGGTCTCCCCAGACCCTGCATTCACTATATCCGGTCTCCCCGGACCCTGCATTCACTATATCTGGTCTCCCCGGACCTGCATTCACTATATCCGGTCTCCCCGGACCCTGCATTCACTATATCCGGTCTCCCCGGACCCTGCATTCACTATATCCGGTCTCCCCGGACCCTGCATTCACTATATCCGGTCTCCCCAGGACCCTGCATTCACTATATCCGGTCTCCCCAGACCCTGCATTCACTATATCCGGTCTCCCCGGACCCTGCATTCACTATATCTGGTCTCCCCGGACCCTGCATTCACTATATCTGGTCTCCCACAGTACACATGTAGCACACCCATGGGTGTTAGCAATATATTGGTATATCTGTGGGTTTCACAGCTCTTACCTGGACTGACGACAGTTTGTGTTACCAAGCCATTGAAAAGGTGTACCTAATAAAGTGGCCGGTGAGTGTATATTTGATGTACTTGTTGCTATTCTCAATAAACGCCTCATAACCCCTCGCCCTCCAGAGGATTTACCCCCCTTCCTGACCAAGCCATTTTTTGCGATACAGCGCTGCGTTACCTTAACTGACAATTGCGCGGTCATGCAACACTGCATCAAAATGAAATTTATGTCCTTTTCCCCCACAAATAGATTTCTTTTGGTGGTATATGATCACCTCTGCGTTTATTTTTTGCGTTATAAACAAAAACATTTTTTTAAAAAAAACAAACAATATTTTTGACTTTTTGCTATTAACCAATTCCATACCGGGCAATTTTACACCTTCCTGCCCAGGCCATTTTTCAGGTTTCAGCGCTCTCACACTTTGAATGACAATTGCGCGGTCATACAACACTGTACCCAAACTAAAATTTTATCATTTTCTTCACACAACTAGAGCTTTCTTTTGGTGGTATTTAATCACCGCTGGGGTTTTTATTTTTTGCTAAATTAACAAAAAAAGACCAAAAATTTTGAAAAAAAAACACATTTTTCTTTGTTTCTGTTATAAAAGTTTACAAATAAATAACTGTTCTTCATAAATTTAGGCCGAGATGTATTCTGCTACATGTCTTTGGTGAAAATAACCCAAATTAGGATGTATTTTTTAGTTTGTAGGAAAGTTATAGAGTTCACAAACTATGGTATAGATCTGAATATTGATCAATCCTGAAGTACTGACAGCCAATCTAATTTCTTGAGGTCCAAGAATGTCAGAACAGTACAGATATCCCCCAAATGTCAGAACAGTACAGATATCCCCCAAATGTCAGGACAGTACAGATATCCCCCAAATGTCAGAACAGTACAGCTATCCCCAAAATGTCAGGACAGTACAGATATCCCCCAAATGTCAGAACAGTACAGATATCCCCCAAATGTCAGAACAGTACAGATATCCCCCAAATGTCAGACAGTACAGATATCCCCCAAATGTCAGAACAGTACAGATATCCCCCACATGTCAGACAGGACAGATATCCCCCAAATGTCAGAACAGTACAGATATCCCCCAAATGTCAGAACAGTACAGATATCCCCCAAATGTCAGAACAGTACAGATATCCCCCAAATGTCAGGACAGTACAGATATCTCCCAAATGTCAGGACAGTACAGATATCCCCAAATGTCAGGACAGTACAGATATCCCCCAAATGTCAGGACAGTACAGATATCCCCCAAATGTCAGGACAGTACAGATATCCCACAAATGACCCCTTTTTGCAGAGTAGACAGTCCGACGTACTTCATAAGAGGCATGGCGAGTTTTTTGAAGTTGTATTTTTATGTCACAATTTTTTCGGAAAATGAAAAAATTAAAAAAATTATTTTCACTTTTTTTTTTTTTTACATACTGTCACCAGTGCAGTACAGCGTCATCATATAACTGGCATGGCGGTTAACAGGGACACTGACTGGTGACAGTATGAAAAAAAAAAAATATATATATATATTATTTTTTTAATTTTTTTTAATTTTTTTATTATATTTAATTTTTTATTACATTTTTTTTTTAAATTTTTTTTAAGATTTCTTTTTCATATTTTACTATGACCAAAGTAGTACAATGTTACCATAGTAACACTGTACTACTTTGGGGAAGTGATCAGTATTTTTTTTTTTTTTACACAATTTGCTTATAGCAAAGAATTACTTTGCTATAAGCAAGCATTTACCTGAATGACATCGATTCATTCAGCTTTTTTTTTTTTTTTTTTTGCTTAGCTGTGATTTGGTCACAGCTAATCACATGACATGTGCATGTGATTAGCTGTGACCATTCACAGCTAGGCACTAGTATACAATGGATGGCATCATGAATGAAGCCATCCATTGTATACAACTGTCATGTGACGTGCTGTCATTGGTCACAGCAGGTCACATGGTACCAGCAACGGGAGCCGGTACTCGGATCTGTCATCGGCCGTGTCCAAGGTGCACGGCCCGTGACAGATCCCGCTGCTGCGCCGCTCTGCATTACCGCAAACGGCGCATGTGCGGGAGCACGCCAAATGGCGTGCACCCGGAATGAAGAGGCACATCTGAAGCCGCCAAACGGCCATTGGCCGGGCGGCTAATGGTTAAACATGTCCAGTAAAAAATTTTGAAAAATCAAATTTCATCATAAATTTAGACCAAAATGTATTCTGCTCCATGCCTTTGCTAAAAAGAAATCCCAATACGTGTAAATAATTGGTTTACATGAAAGTTATAGCGTCTACAAATGGCGGCATATATACTGGAATTTACATTTTTTTTTATACTAGTAATGGCGGCAATCAACGACTTATAGTGGGACTGCGGCGGGCTTTCTGACACTGGGGAAGGGGAGCTGACTAACTTTCACTGACATCCCCAGTGACACCAATACAGTGATCAGTGTTAATAAAAAGCACTGACACTGTACTAATGACACTGGGCAGGAAGGGGTTAACATCTGTGGCAATCAAAGGGTTAACTATGTGCTGGGTGTGTTTTACTAGGGAGACATGCTGCTATGCAGAGAAATACACAGCAGCATGTAACTGCTGGCAGGAGAGTTGTTTACACACAGGTCTCTCCCCTGTCACTGTTCCTAGGTGATCGCCGGGTGCTGGCAGAGAATCTCCAGCCAGGACCCGATGATCGACATCTGTAGCCGCCAATGGTGGCGCGGGTAGGGCGCCCCCTATCTGGAAATGTATTTAAGTGCCAAAGATCTGACCTAGTCCTCTCGCTGTACGTGTTTATATCTGTTGAGTTCTGGAAAATAACCACAAATTTATTCTGAATGGAAGCCGCCAATGGTGGCGTGGGTAGGTTGTCCCCGAGGGCGTCCCCTACCTGGAAATTCAAATCACATATACATACGTGATTTTGTGCAGCCCTGCAGCAGTAGTTCTGCTATAGGGTGGAGGGTAAGAAGTTAATCTACCACCAAACTTACATTCTTTTGGACATTGGGAGCTCCTTCTTTCCTATTACTCCAGGTAGGAGACAGCATGAGCATGTTGCCTTGTCTTGCAGTGTGACTGTGCTGGAATAGTTCCCAATGCAGTCCTACTCAACCAATTGTGAATCTACCCTCAGTGTCTCTTCTGTGATCATTGAGGATGAATTACTTCTCAATATATGCAGCTAGAGAGGTCAGTGAAGGGTTGCTTTAACCCCTCTGGCGGTATTCCCGAGTGTAGCTTGGGGTAAAGTTTCAGCACCACAAGCAGTAACCCCGAGCTACACTCGGGAGCAGGGGCGGATTGACCATTTGGAAACTCGGGCACTGCCCGAGGGCCCGGGATCAGTAGGGGGCCCCATGAGATGCCCCTGGTACCTTTTTCATAGGCTTTTTTGAGTTTGGGCAAGGACACAGGGGCCCCATGATCCCTATTGCCCGGGGGCTCCATGAGTTCTCAGTCCGCCCCTGCTCGGGAATACCCTTCAGCGTTGCTCTTTGCACTTACCTCGTCTTTCGCTCCCCCCTGCAGTGTCCCCTGCAATGTCCTCCGGCGGATTTCGGCATCTGTCTTCTGGGTTCCGTTCCCTGCGACATCGGGACGTACGGGGGGCGGAAATGGTGGGAAATTTGAAAGTTATAAAAGTGACATTCACTAAATACACTAAAATCACATAGTATAACATTCCTGTATCAAACCATTTCACATACATTTTGTCCCGAGTGCTTTGTCCGGCGCCCTGCCTGCATTTTTACTGTTCTTTCTGCCTGGAAACTGAGAAACGTCCATGGCGTCCAAAAAGCGTCCCTTTAGGTCAGACGCGGTTTTAGACCGGCTAGAGAACAGCGATAGTAAATCAGAACCACTTGCAGAATTGAGTGATAATGATTGTGGGGGAAATTCCTCATCAGACACTGAAAACGATTCTGCGACTTTGCTCAGCGATGTGAGAACTTGGCGCTCTATTTCACATTTCAGTGTTTTTGGTTTGATTATATTATTGAATTAAATTTATTATTATTATATTAATATTTTAAATGATTATTTATTAAATTATAATTTATGATGTCATGTTTCAAATTTTATCCTACCCGGGATGTTTACTAGACTCTTGTTCGGACAGATTTCAGTGAGTTATTCCTAAGAATTACAGGCCTACAATAAAAAAATACATATTTCCATGCAAAAAAATGTACCGCTTTGAGCACAGAAATATGGACATAATCAGACTGCTAGGGAGCAGGGGTGGACTGACCATTTGGAAACATGGGCACTGCCCGAGGGCCCGGGGTCAGTAGGGGGCCCCATGAGATGCCCCTGGTACCTTTTTTCATAGGCTTTTTTGAGTTTGGGCAAGGACACAAGGGCTCCATGATCTCCTATTGCCGGGGGCCCCATGAGTTGTCAGTCCGCCCCTGCTAGGGAGGCTACAGTTTGCATTCCATTTGTTTCGTATATGAGAATACATTACTGTCCATTATCTGGGTACAGGTGCGTTTATTATACGTTGCAGATTTATAGCTCCAAGTCCTTTTTCAACCTATGTAACTATGCTATTGTAAAAGCTCCATATACCGGGATTTCATTTAAGTGCCGATGATCCCACCTAGTCCTCCCGTTGTACGTGTTTATATCTGTTGAATTCTGGAAAATAACCGCGGTGTTATTTTGAATGGAAGAATCTGACACAGTGTAAGCCTAATGCTATAAAATACATTCCCCGCTGCCAGGAAAATCTCAAGGCATACATTGCAATAAATGTACAGAACGCCCACGCACACCATTCTTTTTACAGTTTACACTTAAAGAGAGAAGCTTTTACACACAACAAACAGATGTGCTAAATGAGTCAAACCTACAGCCTTTTCACTGCTGGCAGAGAGAAATATATCTACCAATATATATATATATGTCATATAGAGGTCAAGCTGCAACAATGTGTGACGCCACTTTACAATTAACCTCCGCAGAGAGAGCAAAACGGCGAGCGCGATTTCCTCTGCAACCCCGGGGAGAATGGGAGAGCATACCACCTGTTCAATCTTTGTTTGCAGGCAAGCCTGATTATTACTTTTACATTGATGTGCATGGAGTAGGCACCTATACCTGCCAAATCACAACTTGTAATGGGAAAGGGTTACTGTCTGGTCTTCCTGGACCAGAGTAATGGGGATGCTTTGGCCTTAGGTTACCACTAGGGACTGAGGGACTGTGGGGGGGGGGGGATTAGAGTGTAAGCTTCCCTGGTGCAGAGACTGATGTGACTGGCTCAGTGTTCTCTGTACAGCACTGCAGTATATGTCAGAGCTATATAAATGTATAATAGTGTGTGACTGTGGGGTGACATTAGAGTGTAAGCTCCTCTGGTACAGAGACTGATGTGACTGGCTCAGTGTTCTCTGTACAGCGTTGCGGTATATGTCAGAACCAGGGGCGAACTGACCATTTGGAAACTCGGGCACTGCCCGAGGACCCGGGGTCAGTAGAGGGCCCCATGAGATGTTCCTGGTACCTTTTTTATAGGCTTTTTTGAGTTTGGGTAAGGACACGGGGGCCACATGATCCCCTATTGCCCGGGGCCCCATGAGTTGTCAGTCCACCCCTGGACCTGGTAAAAGTGACATATTTACCAGACCCTTCCTCCACTCACCGTCCTGAAGGATCCTATTGAGTGCTTGCAGCTGCTCGTGGGTAAGCTGGCAGCACTGCGGGGGTGGGGGACACACAGGGTGGACTGAGCAGCAGGGGGAAATATATGGTGCACAGGGAGGGTGATCAGCACAATGGGGGGGGGGGGGCAATTACTGGAACCGATCCCCTGCGTGGAGGGAGAGAAGCCGGCGAGGATCGGGGATACAGGGGATCAGTTCCAGTATTTGCCCCCCTGCCGTGCCGATCACCCTCCCCCATTCATATATGATTTACCCAGCTGCTTGGGCCCCCCTGCTGGCTTGGGTCCTGTACAAGAGGACTGGTGGTACCCCCTTATCCACGGCCCTGGGTGCAAAGCACCTAACAGGGACAAGATACTCTGGTCAACCTAAGTAGAAGCCAGAAGGTCCCTGCCTCTTAGGGCTCGTTCACACTTGACTGTTTTACCAACGCTTGCCAAACGCCCCGGTGTAGGCAAACGCTCCGCAAACGCCGGTTTAGCGGTGGTTGCTAGGCGTTGCCCGAGTGTTACAAACACCCCACAAACGTCTATAATGAAGTTTAAATGGTGTTACCCACCGCTCCGCAAACGCCCCACAACCGCATCTCCGGCCCGGGCGTTTGCGGAGCGGCACCATAGACTAGAATAGGAGGCTTCAACGCCTCCTGACTCGACCAGAGGCGTCCGATTTGCCATGATGCAACGCTAACGCTCCCGTTAGAACAGCACCATGTGCTGCAATGTGCACAATTGTCCGAGGCGTTTGGGAAGCGGTAAAAACGCTTCCCAAACGCCTCTCTGCCACCTGCACATAACGCTAGTGTGAACGTAGCCTAAGGGACCTGTTGAAGCTGGTCCTGCAAGTACTTGATGTGGCCTCTCCTGAAGAGAACCCCCCCCCCCCCCCCACCAGTTGGAGAAGGAAAAACATCCAAAGGCCACAGATCCTCCTCCTGACATTAGTGTATGCCTCGAAAAACCTCACCCTTCGTCTCTGTATATAAAAAAAACAAACATGTGCAGTGCATTAAATAGGTGAAAAATAAATAAAGGGTGGCAAACACAAAGCAGGCCTTTCAACCACTATGGAACTTTCTCCACCATAAGACCATATGGTCTGCCAAAAAGGTGAGTGCAAAAAAAAAAGCAATAAGTGACAAATCATCAAATGCCAGTGAAACTCGGTGGGGTCCCAAACCCATAGTGTTTTTCTGGCACCCCTGGGACACCACCCCTAGGGGTACACCGGGATCTCCTTGTGCCTCCCAGCCCCTGAACAGACACCAGATGCAGCCTCATCACTACCAGAAAGGCAATAGTGCCTAGGGAGAGGCTGCCTACAACCAAGGACAAGCTTATTGAAACAGGCCAGATTCAACCCAGGAGAAGGATCCCTCCCCTGCACCCAACTTAATAATTCAGGAATTACTAACTCGCACCCCTTCTTGGATAGGGTTCATTGACTTGTAGCTCTCCTACAACTTGTGTCTATTGCCAGTGACCAGGCCTGAGACTTGCGGCTCTCCTACAGCTTGTGTCTATTGCCAGTGACCAGGCCTGAGACTTGCGGCTCTCCTACAGCTTGTGTCTATTGCCAGTGACCAGGCCTGAGACTTGCGGCTCTCCTTCAGCTTGTGTCTATTGCCAGTGACCAGGCCTGAGACTTGCGGCTCTCCTACAGCTTGTGTCTATTGCCAGTGACCAGGCCTGAGACTTGCGGCTCTCCTACAGCTTGTGTCTATTGCCAGTGACCAGGCCTGAGACTTGCGGCTCTCCCTACAGCTTGTGTCTATTGCCAGTGACCAGACCTGAGACTTGTAGCTCTCTCCTACAACTTGTGTCTATTGCCAGTGACCAGGCCTGAGACCTTTGTAGCTCTCTCCTACAACTTGTGTCTATTGCCAGTGACCAGGCCTGAGACTTGCGGCTCTCCTACAGCTTGTGTCTATTGCCAGTGACCAGGCCTGAGACTTGCGGCTCTCCTACAGCTTGTGCCTATTGCCAGTGACCAGACCTG